AAAAGGCTTTCTTACAAGTCATAAATATACAGATCAGTTAATTTTACAGCCATGACCAAAATAGTGGCACCACTTCCCCCAGAAAGATGTTGTAATCACAAATTCTTTGGTATTCTCATGTTCATTACTTTTTTTTGCATTGAACAAACACAAAAAAGTAGAGGAAAAGAAAAGGCCCAATCTGATACTTTCTATACAGAACTCCAAAAATGGACTGGGCAGAAATATTGATAACTGGCATACTTTCTTCTAACCATCAGTGAGTTTCTTACACCTCTCCACTGGAATTTTGGACCACTCTTCTTTTGTCTCCAGGTCTCTCAGATTTGAAGGGTTCCTTCTCCAAGCTGGTGTTTTAAGATCTCTCCACAGCTGCTCTATGGGATTTAGATCTGGACTCATTGCTGGCCACTTCACAATTCTCCAGCTCATTGTCTGAAGTCTTTTTGAAGTCTGCTTTGGGTCATTGTCCTGCTGTAAGACCCATGACCTCTGACAGAGACCCAGCTTTCTGTCGCTGGGCCCTACATTGTGTACCAGAATTCATTGGTAGTCTTCAGATTTCACACAGTCTAGACCTCCAGTGCCTGAAGCAGCAAATTAACCCCAAGACATCAGTGAGCCTCCACCGTGTTTGACTGTAGGGGCCGTATTCTTTTCTTTGAAGGCCTCATTTTGTTTTCTGGAAACAGTAGAATGATGTGCTGGACTAAAAAGCTCTATTTCAGTCTATTCTGTCGACAGGACGTTCTCCCAGAAAGACTGTGGCTTCCTCTGGTAAGTTTTAGTAAACTCCAGTCTCTTTTATGTCTCTGTGTCAGCAGTAGGGTCTCCCTGGGTCTCCTACCATAGCGTCCCTTGTCATTCAGATGGTGACGGATAGTGCGAGCTGACACTGTTGCATCCTGTGCCTGCAGGTCAGATTGGATTTGTTTGGACGTTGATTGAGGTTCTCTATCCACATTCGAACAATCCTTCGTTGCCGTCTGTCGTCTATTTTCCTCTTTCATCCACGTCCAGGGAAATTAGCTACAGGGCCATGGGCTGTAAACGTCTTGACAATGTTGTGCACAGTGGACACAGGAACAGCTAGATCTCTGTCGACGGACTTGTAGCCTTGAGATTGTCCATTGCTTTCCCACTATTGTGGTTCTCAAATCCTCAGACAATTCTTTCCCCTTAATTCTTTTCTCCATGCTCAGTGTGGTCCACACGACACAAAGGCTGAGTCAACCTTTTCTCCATTTTAACTGGTTTCAAGTGTGATTTCTATATTGCCAGCATTTGATTGCTACAGGTGAATTTCATTTACATCTAAAGGAGTGTCACATACTTGAAATACAGCTGTTTCTGATGATTTTGAAAAGGTGTCAGTAATTTTGTCTTGGAATTCTGAGTGGAATGGATCAGCTTTGGCTTTTTTTTTCCCTCTGCTTTTTTATGTTGCTCCAATGCAAAAACCAAAACATTTGTGATTGCAACAGTTTTCTGGGGTGTCAATAATTTTGGCCATGACTGTAGCTTTTCCTGTTGCATTTACTGATGTATTGAATGCAGTTTAACTTCCTAAGTTAAACTGCAGTTTAACGACATACTTCAAAAAAGCACAAGTTTGTTGATAATTTGTCTTGTATTTTTTCAGGTTTTTAAGAATCTGAAACTATTCATGGAGAACAAGGAACCTGGAGATGAGCTCTTTGACCGCCTTAATGTGAGTGTCTCACCAACTTTCCTTCATATTTTACATATTCTAGCCATCTGAGATGTAATGTCTCGATCCTTTTTGTGAAACTTTGCCTGCTGCTGCTCTGTATCTTAGGGGGATATTTAAACCTGTCGCGAATCACTGTCAGGTGTGGAAAATATTGCGGCAACAGTTTTTCATTTTAGCCACGTAATTAACACAGATGTTGTAAATTAACACAGCCGCATGCGCTTCAGCTGGTCAGGTTGTGCCTACTGCGCATGGGTGGACCAAGAGGGACAGTGGGGGAAAAAGTGTGTTTACTGTGACTGAACTTTTAATATGGTTGAAGAAATCAACAAACATGTTTGAGTTGCAATCATGTAGTCTCCTGCCAGTCCAGTCATCTTTTATTTTATTGAGTAATTGAAGTATGGTTTGACCTAAAAGCCTGTAAAAGTCCCTCACATTCTCCTCTGGTGAGTGATGTGAATTATAAACACCCTCTCCCCCCTCAAACATGTTCTTAACTCTGAGATTTCAAATGACTAATACAGTAGCTGCCACACTGAGAGCGGTGGTGCAGATTTTACACCTGCCTTCTCTTGACATTAAATTTCAGCCATAGTTCCCTCTGTTATGTCACAGCAGTGGCAAATCAGGTGCTGAGGGAATTTTGTATAAATTTTCATTCTCTCCTCCCTGATTTTTGCATCCTTGAATGGGAATGCCTTAAAATACTGTTGCACGAGACTAACATGCAAATTCTTGTTTCCACTTTTCTTGTTTCTCTCACTGCTACTTAAGAAAGTCACTTTCGGCTTTTTCCCATTTTAGGGGTCGCCGCAGCGAATCGTCACACTGACGACTCGCATGTTGACATTTGGCACGTGTTTTATGCCGGATGCCCTTCCTGACACAACCCTGATTCGAACCCGGGGTGCAACGGCGAGAGCACTGCGCCTTAACCACTAGCAAAAAAAAAAAAAAAAACCTCACTGCTACTACTTAGTAAATATGAACACACGCAATTTCACTGTTTAGTGCCAGAAAATGAGCCGCAAAATCATAATAAATATTCCCCTTAGTGTTTAAAGTAAGGAAGTGGTAAAAATGGCTTAGTATTGGTGAGATATGTTCAACAGCGATTTGAATAATTGCCAACTTTTGTGTAAGAGTACCTACTTTTTTTCCAGGGTTGTGTAAAAACTGCATTATATTTGAATAAAAAGCAAAACAGAACATTTTTAAAATGTTTTCTAGGGACAGAAGGCTGCAGTAAAGGAATACTAAAGGGCTAAGTTGTATAGTGTAAGAGATGAAACTGAATGAGTATGAGCCATTGGTATGGAGAAATGAAAGGGGTAGGATGAGGAAACGGGAGGTGATGAAAAGGGGGAGAATACTGGAAGCAGGGGGAGCGAAAGCAGAAATCTTTAAAAATAGAGAAGGGATGGACTCTGGCAGATAAAAATGAAACTGTGACAAAAAAAATTGTGGAGTGAACATGCTGGGCAGATGAATTTCCACACATAAAAACGTGGCATCCTCTCAACCTTTTCGTGTAGCTGCAGGCAGCAAGACCTCATATTATGCAGCTGTTGTATGCATGGTTAGTTCACTGCAGGGAGATGGAGCTTCTTAAGCTGCATCCAGTCTTTATAAGACAATATCAACCATGTTATTTACCTGTTTAACTTTATATGCCAGGCTAAAAGGTTGTCCTTGCCTGGCAAATGTTTTGATAATCACTCAATGTACAGGTTTTTTACTGTGGAAACCAGGCTACTGCTACATCAGCGCACAACCTGGTGACCTTGGGTTAACTGCCCTGTTGGCTGCGAAATAACTTCTCTTCTGATACACTCAAAAGTTGTAGGAGGGAACGTATGCACAGAACCTTACCTGAGGGGATGGGCTTAATGAAACGGAGAGCAAAAGAAATGCAAATAATGCACAAAGGAGGTCTGATGTGTTGCTATATCTACATCACCTAGTAGGAAAAGGAAGCTGCAAGACAGGGCTGGAGTGAGATGAAGAGACAGAGCAATTGAAGGAAGGAGTGTGCTGCTTCTGCTCTCTGCCCTCTAGTGTGTCAGGAAATGTCAGGGTGTGTTGGAGGTGGAATGGTAATGGCTGCTGTGGGCAGGCCTGATTGACACCTGGAAAGGCCAGGCCACTGAGTGAGCAGAAGGTTTGGATGTGTGTGTGTGGAGGAATAGACACAGCGATAGGAAAGTGACAGCTGGTCCAGGCAAAGGGAGGTTCAGAAAGAGAAGGAGGCGGAAGTGAGGCAGGAAAGAAGAGCAGAAGTAACAGCCAGGGACCTGCTGTAAGACCGAGATGAGGAGGGAGATGAAGAGGTGGAAGATAGGGTCATATTTAAATAAAAATAAAATTTGGCATGTGGAAATGAAAAGAAAGATGGGAGTTAAGTGGTGGAACTGTAGCATGTATTGCAGCTGGTGTTTCAGAGCGAGAAAGTGAAAGGTGCTGAGGAAAGGAAAACCTGGGCAGGAAAAGGAATAATGTGAAGGAGAAAGGGAGTTAGAAAAGAGTGATTCGGAGCCATATTCCTTTAACAGCCTCTCTGATGTTTAGACCTAAATTGGCTTGGCTGGTAAGCTTGGTGTTAATTACTCAAGTACTGCTCACATGTGTAAATATGTAATAGACAAAAGTCCTGAACAAAAAGCAAGAAAAACAAAGAGTGGAGCCACTGCATCGCTCAGCGTGTTGCTCACTTAAGTGTTAATTCAGTGATTTGGATGCAATTGATTTGAGAAGTTTATTTGTGCTTGAAGAGACCATTGAGATTAACAGTTAGGGAAATGTGGTCTCGGTTTTTATAGTGTAGCTTCTCCTCTCTGTCTCTGGTGGTGTTTGATTGAGGGTGGGGTTCAGCTCCTTTGCACACAGCTGGGCTGAGACGCTGCGGAGGAGAACATGACATGAGGTGAAGTAAAACACATTACTTGAGTTGACAGCATCTATACTTGTTACTGTATTTGAAACAAACCCTTTGAGTGAAAAGCCCATGAGAGTAATATATCAAGAAAGCTTTCATTTTTGGCCACATTCTCTCATCCACCACTTGTGTATGTTTAACCATAGCAAGCTTGATAGACTACGAATGAATGAATTTGATTATTTAAACATACCGATAAAAACTAGCTTACTAGCAATTAAAAGATATTAATGTTGCTGCTCTAGAAATATATTTTTATAGGTAAAAAAATAAATATTATAATGCACCCTTGTCCTTTGCAAAGTGCCAAGTATATCTTAGGTTTCACATTTTAGAAATGAGCTAGTTAGGTCAGTCTGTCCCTGCACATCATGTAAATTACATTTTCATGATTTCTGTTTATAAGAGATGTACCATTTCCTTAAAAAGAAAGTTCTGCTAAATTTTTACATGCAAGGGCAGCAGTGGCCCTTGCATATGAGGTGGCTGTGGCTCAGGACGTAGAGCGGGGCGTCTCCTAACCGGAACGTTGCTGGCTCGATGCCAAGCTTGTCCGGTCCACATGTTGAAGTGTCTTTGAGCAAGACGCCTAACCCCTAGTTGCTTCTGGTGATGTAACCGGTGTGTGAGTGCTTGGGATTGCGAACGGGTGAATGGCTAGTAGTGTGAAAGCGCTTTGAGTGTGCTGCAGTGCATAGCAAAGTGTTGTACAAGTATAAGACCATTTAAAATGCATATGAGCATGGAGCCCTGAGGGAACGCTTTGAGAGGGTAGAGCTGCAAAAATTTTGGAATAGCAATTTAAGAATACTTTTCTTTAAAGCATTTATAATTGTTCAGACAAAAAGTGACAAAAGTAAAAGTCCTTTCACACTAGAGGTGAATTTTTCATGTTTTTTTTCTGCATGTCTAGTAATTTTTGAACCAGTATTCTGTGAATGGTCCTTTGCACATCAATGACAGAATATCATTGAGCAGAAAGCCACATTTATTTATTTATTTATTTATTTTGCCCCAAGAACTTTTTTGTGGCGACACATGACCAATCACAGTGCAGCCTGATGCAGCACTGCAACATTGTTCTCATAAGTGTGTAGTGCACCGGTTTAGCTGGCCAGTGCACTACACACATCTGATTTGTTTATTAAAGTGGTGTTCAGTGGGCCTATATATATATTACCTTAGACATGCGGCCTGGCACTATTCCAGTTTGATTGGGTCATTATAATTGCTCCTCTGCCTGTTCGAGTACTGTGGAAGCAGCAACTCCTCAAATTGTCCCACAGACATCCTGAAGGTAGGTAGGTAGAACTTTATTGATCCCACAGTGGGGAAATTCCAGTGTTCCAGCACCAGTAAAGGACAAAAACAGAAGTAGAAGTAGGTCCAAAAATGACCTTTGCCAAAGCAACCTATTGTTCCCATAATGTCATTATGCCTAAAAGCTGTATTCCCATGGTACAGTTTCAACCCCTACACCAAGCAGTGAATCTTTCCATCTTTATCGATATAGAATGCAATTCATTTATTTAGCAAAACCAGCACCTTGCAGGTCATCATCCCTTGTTGCAGACTTTTGTAGTGCGACCTTTTAGAGCTCCATATTCACATCATGTTTGGTGTGAATATACAGTATATGGTGTGTTTAAATCGCTTCTGAAAAGTCTTTATTTCGTATTGTTTATTTGTGCTGCTCTAGGTATAAAAATGCTGTAATTGTGTAAGAATGCTTTCTCAGCTCTACACACCCGTCCAGTTGCTGTGTAAATTGGGTATGGTTGTTGGTTCAAAATGTCCACATATACAGTCCATAAACTAGTCAGCACCTGGAGAGTGCAAACCTTTGCCAAAGCAGCCTGGCATCACCACAATTCCATAAATTACAGCATAATCATCACACACTTTTAGAAATTTAAAAAAGATTATTCCCACTGACTGATATTGCTTTGCCTGCTGCGATGACCTAAATGTCACATGTAGTTTTATATCAGGAGCAGGGTTGTTTAGTAATCCATTCATGCCTGGGTTCAAATCTGCCACAGGACCTGTGGTGTCTAGCCACAGTCACAAAATGCCACAGTAAAATGCATTTACATCGATTTTGCAGAAATAATGTACATTGGAATGCACAGAATGTTGGGTTAATGTGACCCGAACGTTCACATATCTGTAAGCATTCAGTGTTGCAAACATTTCACTGTATTGAATGACATTTCAGAGGAAGAGAGGGAAACATGGTTCACATCAATGTAAGATGGCAAAATGCTCAGCCATGGTGATCGTCGTGTATGCATGCACATCATGTTGAGGTCTGATAGTCTAATCTGAGCTGAAAATGCAGACGATTCTCAGTCTTATCTGGAAGCCTCCTCTGCATCCTTACAGCTCCAGTCCACACACTGCCTCACTGTCTGCAGTTTCAGGTTAAATGTAATCTTTGTTGAACTACATCTTGGTGAATTAAATTACATAACTATAGTACATCAGTATAGTATAATCCCTGTGAACTGCTTCTTTTTTTTTTTGCATATATCATTATTTTCCCTCCATCCGCTTTGTCTTCTCCACTGTCTATGAGAAGAGTTTTCTTTATTTTCTAAATAGATGCATAGAACAAATTGGAGCAAGTGAAAAATGAAAAGTAGATCATCATAGCAAGTTCAGAATGGCAGTCAATGTATCTCCCTGGCATTAGTTGCCATCACCATAAATTGGTAGCAGTGTTAATGAGAAAGTCTAGTCCATAGTATCCTGTATTATAAGCAGGAAATTAGAATGGTGGTAATGACATACTGTGATAATTCCTGAGGAGGTGACATGGATGACATACACAGACAACAGATCACGCCAAGGAAGATGGATGTGAGACCTATCATTTTTGCCCCTCAGACTTGCAGCCACCTTCATTAGCATTGCAGGGTGAGAGTTAAGTATCTCATTAGCTAGGCAGGCTCGGTAGCAAATGTGAATGTTTGTTTGTAAGTGTGCGCTCTCCTCAAAATGCATGCACGTGTATGTGTGTGTGTATGTAAAAGCCTACCCTCATCCTGTTTCTAACGGTCTCCTGCAGAGAGTCGCACACAAGTCTGCGGCCCCAGACGGCCGAGCCCTGACCGTGCTTTGATTAATCCAACCACATCATTATTGAAATCTTTTTCTGAATTATTTTTTTTTCTTTTTCCAGAGCTGTGAGCTCACCAGCAAGTTCATTTCTGTTTTTCCCCTCATATTTGCATACTTACATCTGTTTAGAGATATGCTAACTTCCTCTCAAGTCCTCATGTTTGCACCTCATATCAGTATGTGTGCAGTGAGCGTATGCATTTTTTTGTTTGTTTGTTTTAACCCCAGTAGGTGTGCCCTCTGTCTTTTAATGTTCTGTGTGAGTTGGGTGACAGGAGCTAATGGCTATCTAACCACTACCTGTGACAGCTCTGACTTGTTATAATACACACAGAAATGTCAGAGGGGAAATGGTACTGTGATCTTTTTTAATCTCCCTACTCTAATGGCTGCTGCTGATGATAATGGCAAAGACAAAGATGGTATTTTGTTTTATTTGCTATGGTATATTACAGATGCTTTAAACACTGCAATAGTACAGTGCCACAGTGCCCTCTAGTGGCAGGGAACGTGTTGATTTAGCTGGTTTTGTGAAGACTGTGCACTTGTTCTACACCACAGTGATACATGCATATGTACAGTATATTTCTTTGTCCTTCTCCCCATTTCTCATGGCAGACAACCACGCTGAACAAGCATCTGAGTTCTTTAATGCCAGGTTTGACTGCAAAGGTCTTCAGGACATACAACGCCTCAATCACCTTGCAGCAGCAGCTCAAAGCACTCACAAACAGTAAATCACACACACTCACTGTACTATAAAGTGTCTAACCTTACATTAATTACTATATAATATTCTCAAGCTTTGAAAGCACTGGCTCATATTCCACAGCTAGACAGTTACTGGCCGTTTTAATAGAGTAGCTATTTATAAGTTTGGCTCTTATTGTCTCATTGCCTGGCTCCTTGTGTCATGGAGATCCATGATAAAACTGCCACACTACTGATTCGAGATACCCTTATGTCAGTCATCTTTTTCCAGCCATGGCAGGAGTACATTATCATTGCACCCAGCACCGTGCATCTCTGCCTCACTCTTATCACACAGTCCCATTGGCTGCCTCTGCCACAGTTTCTCATTTAGAGCCAAAAGTGTCACACTCTCTTCGGGTTTCTGGATTGCTACCTATTCCCTGTCTACAGAATCACATGTAGTTGTAGTGTGTATTGTGTGGACCCCAGGAAAACTAAATGAAGCTAATAAGGGTCTGAAGACATTAAGTGAAACAGTAGCAACTTGTGTGTTCAGGGTTGAGATTTGAAGTGCAGTTGGTGGTTGTGAAGTAATAACTTCATACATTTCTGTGCATATTTCTGATAAGATAACGTGTTGCCAGTGGGATTCTCCTACCTAAACATAAATTTGTGTTGTCACCCTCCAAAGGCTCTGACAATCTGGCAGAGAAGCTGCTGTCCTACAACAGGGCTAACAGAGCAGTTGCTATTCTCTGTAACCACCAGCGGACACCAGCAAAGAACTTTGAACAGTCTATGGCTAATCTTCAAGCCAAGGTAAGAATGGCTTTACTTAGGTCATTGAACACAGGAATTTATCACATTCACATTGGCCTCTCAGGTCATTAGCAGGAGCAGTGCTACCTCATGTTCTTGTGGCACAAACATTTTTCTGAAAGAATTGCAAAGTAGAACTCAGGAGAGAGTGAATTCTTCTAATGGCTGCGGCTCAAGAGGTAGAGCGAGTTGTTTCCTAACTGGAACGTTGGTGGTTTGATTCCCAACTTCTCCAGTCTACATGTCAAAGTGTCCGTGAGCAAGACACTGAACCTCCAGTTGCTCCCAGTGAGTGTGACTGTGTGAGTGCTTGGGAGAGTGAATGGGTGAATGGCCAAATAGAAGTGCTTTCAGTGTGCTCCAGTGCCTAGACAAGTATAAAACCATTTACCATTAAAGCCCAGTCAAGGCTGTCTTGAAGCTGAAGTTTAAAAACACACCTGTGTCTTAATGTGCTCCATCCAGATTGAAGCTAGAAAGGAACAGCTGGCCCTAGCTAAGACGGAGCTGAGGCAGGCCAAGAAGGAGGCCAAGGCCAAAGGCAGTTCAGATCCCAAGATGCAGACGTGAGTGACACAACAGTGCAGAAGAAAACATTGGACATTAGAAATATTACAGATGATTGACAGCAATCTGAAATTATAAACACCTCTATATAGGCTAAATCCAAGTGGGAACCTCTGAGACTGAGAAATGAAAAGTGGAAATGTTAAAACCTGCGGTTCCTCAAATGGCTATTCGAGGCTGGCTCCAAAAGGGAGTCAATGGCAGCAGAAATAAACATGTTTACAGCCGGTTTTGGTCTCTTTAGCTAATTGCCCCTTCCATGACAATTGTAGAGGGTGAATTTTTATGCAACTCTCTCGTTCAAATTATATTGAGGCTAAAAGTTAAGCACATTTAAGGGAGCAGCCCCTTTGAGTGACGGGTAGGAGGGTCTTGCCACTGGTGGCTAGCTTCATTCAGCACTACCAATATGGCGCTTCAGAACCACTCTTCTGAAAACCAGTGGGTGAATTCATGGTGGGTTTGTTAATCTTTTCTATACAGTCAGTGGCTAAATCACAAGCTTGCACACTTGTACCTACACACTGGAAAGCCCTCCAGGGTTAAGAACCTTCAGACAAGTGTTTCTTGTTTTTGAGTCAAAGGTCAGTTACAACATGCAGCAGTGTGTTGTACATGAAGTAAGACATCCGTGATCTTTTAAGTTTATTTACTGGACAACTAGACTTGGAGAACATTATGTATTTAATTGAGTTCCCAATGAAGAATGTAGGCCATTTGTGACAGCAGAAATGGGTGTGTTTAAGCCAGGACTTAGTGCACACCTACCTGGTGTTTGATGGTGCTGTTTTATCTGTCACCCCTAGATTGACTGAATGTACAGCTTTGGATGTTTTATTTTTGGGGGTGTAGTAGTTTTCTGCAGGTTTGATATTTTGTACTACTTGAAGTTGTTTACAGTATATAAACACCTTCCTCGAAATTTGGCTGCATGCTGATGAAATCATGGCCTGTACATTGTAGAAACCATATCAAGAGATTTTTCCAAATCAGAAGTTTTTTTTTTTTTCTTCCCTACAGTCAACTGCATGACATTGTTGCACTTTCTGAATATTGTCTGCCAGGCTAGTGGAGCGGAAGAAGGCAGCAGTAAAACGCTGTGAGGAGCAGCTGCTGAAGATGGAGGTCCAGGCGACTGACAGAGAAGAGAACAAACAGATCGCACTGGGTACCTCAAAGCTCAACTATCTGGACCCACGCATAACTGTGGCTTGGTAAGTGAGGACAAACATGAACACTAGACAACCTTGATGCTTTGATGGGAACACTTGCATGGTTAACCTGTTCAGACATTTTCACCTCAGTTGGATCAGATTATGAGATGCACGTATGTGTCTGTAGTAAACAAAAACTGAGGACACCCCATGCAATGTCACAAAAATGTTAAATGATTCAACACTGGGCCATCTTAATAACTGTTTTATTTTAAGACGCAGTGTAGGGTCTTATGTTTGTATAATTAAAAATGCACAGGTTAGACTAAATTGAAAATACAGGATTCAAAGTACAACCTCAATGCAACAAAAAAAAATTACACTTGTGATTCCCAATTACATATACAAGGTTAGAAATTAATTTATGAACGTGACCATGATCCCAAACACACAGCATGTTTTTAAAGGAAAAAAGTAGTAATTAAATCTAATAGAATACCTTTTTTACTATTTTTGAGCAACAAATCTCCAACAAAGAGCAGCTGAAAATAATGTGTGAAGAATCACAAATCCTTTCACTACAGATTTGTGCAAGACTAATATCATTCATGATGACCTTCACCTGCAGCCTGTGTCATTAAGCATGATTAGGAGTCAGGTTACTAATTTTGGTCTCAAGTCAGTTTTCCACTATAATGACGCTGGTTTACTTTTTAATCAAGGTAGTAACCATGGAAGCACGCTGCTTGGTGAACCTGCTCAAATAGGTTCAGGTCAGGATTTAATAATCAAAAAGTATAAACTGAATAATGAATTTTTGTGGAAAAACAGAGCCATCATTTCAAGATCCAAGAATGGACAGAAGTGCTGTATTCTCACTATAATAACTGAGACAAACTCATTTTATTTTTTAAGATATAAAAATATATTCAGTCTGAGCATTTGTCCTCTTCTGTTTTATCAGTGGGTTTTTAGTTTTTGACTACAGGAATATTTTGAGCCCTATTAGAAGATTAACTGCTATAGTGTTAAGTTTATAATGCAATGTATGCTTGACAGTCCCCTTTTCCTTTTTTTTTTAGGTGTAAGAATATGAACGTGCCTATAGAAAAAATCTATAACAAGACCCAAAGGGACAAGTTCGCTTGGGCCATTGGCATGACAGAGGCAGACTTTGAATTCTAACCGGACTCTTCTAAGTCTCCAGTCTCATAAGCTGATATCATGATGCAGTTAAGGAACCACTATATTACAGTTATAGTGCTTTAATGTTGCATTTTAATGTATTCATAATTAATGTATTTGAAGAGATTATGTGACGTTTACTGCTGTTTATTTCAGTTTAATGCTTTTGGCACATCATCTTAAAGATCCTGATGGGTTGTTTTGTTTGCAACTTTTGTTGTTTTGCATTAGTTTGAATAAAGGGTTCCTATTATGCAGTAAAGGTGTGGTTTCAATGAGTCTACAGTAAATGTCAGTTCAAAACATCTTGGCCATTGTATAAGGAAAAAAAAAAACAATTTCTGAGCTTAGTTGTCCATAAAATGTAACACTAAAATGTTAATTCAATACATTATAAAAAGTGCAAGGAAAAAAAGCTCAACACTGAGACAGGCTAGATAATTCCCATCATAAAATACAACTCTTGCTTGAAAAAATAAAGCAGAAAACCACTAAGCACCTCAGAGTTAATATGGTTTTAAAATCCACTCAGCACCTTTATGAAATATTTTTTTGTAACGCATGACAAACAGCATTGTATTAAATAACTTTAATAGAAGAAATCATAACTGGAATGCATCCCACACCTTTGTAGTAACAATGCTTTATGTAAAACACTGCAGGCTGCAGATATTAAAGTTGCCCATTCCCCATGCTGGCAGGGATGGAGGTTCTACTAGCCAGTTAGCCCTGCGGGTTGTACTTCTCGGTGCAGACTATGGCAAAACAGTCTCCATCAAGCCATTGCTTCGTGGGACTGACTTATAATCTATGATGGCAGCGCAAGAACCTCTAAATCCTTAAATTACATTCCTGCATGTTAGCATTTTACTTTCTAAAGGGAATATCACACTATAGCTAGCTTACAAATAACGCTCAAATTTTCAGGTCATCACATAACTGTAACCGTTTATCACAATATTCAGTATATAAAAAGCATTTCACACAATGACACCATATCAATAGAATTCAAGGAAAGGTCTGCTGCTCCTAAATAGAGGACCCACTTCACACTTTGTTAGGAACCTGTGGGGCAAAAAATAAATGTTACAAAGCTGTAGTAAACTGAGACTGAAGGTGAATTTATCAATATTTAACATGAATTTTGTTCTATTTAAGGAAAACCTGACTGCTAAATTAACATGAAATCCTTAACCTTCATTATGAGCCTTGACCCTCTTTAGCCTTTTCGGGTGTTGCCTCAATCTCTTCAACTCCAGCCTGGGTCATCAGGTCAGCAATGTTCTTCTCCAGGTCATCAATACGTGTACTCATCTCATCGAGTGGATAGGTAGTTAAGGCACATAATTAAAATGAGTGGTCATAAAATTATTTTTGGAAAAGTATGTCTGAGTCAGTCATTTGGATGAAAGAAATTAACAATGAGACATTGTTATTATTGAGTCAGAATGAAACTAAATTAAAACTAGGAAGGATGATGCATCAATAAACAAGTGCCTGTCAGCATTTTAAGTAATTATTAGGATATTCCTCCCTATGATCTGGTCTGACATGGTCTGGAACTTGTCCTGCATCTGTTGCAGCAGTGTCTGGACCTGTGAAACAACACAAATAGTGTAAGTGACCAAAAAAAAAAAAACTGATCAAAGTTGGTTTTATGAGGATGGCAGCCATTCATCAAATTAACCAGTTATCTTGGTGAATGAGTTTGACACTGTTGCAAATACAAGTAATGACACTGCGAGTTTAACAACACTGCTGGTGCTGGAAATCTCAACTCTAATGCACCATGCCTGTGCTCAACAAATGATTTTTAAAAAAGCAGCAGGACAATGATAACAGAAGTGTCTTGTTTCCTTGACAACAGTGTAAAAGCTCAGTAACCACAGAAAATGATTCTTTAATTCAAGCATGGCTGCAGAACAATGAAAGCACCATAAATTCACGCTCCTCTCTGATCATTTTCTGTCTGCCAAGCACATATTTATGCCCTCAAACACTCATCACTAGTTTAATTTTGACAACTGTGTTCCTCAAATGTCAAGAACCTGTGAAAATGAGGTACCCTTCCCAAAGATACACTCCAGGGGTTACTGTAATCTCAAAAGGCAACAGGATAAAATGAAGGTTACATCAACAAAAAATAGAAGACATCACTGGGTGCCCTTTACAGGAAAATGGCTGGAAATGGGTTTATGAATAAAAAGTGCATGGGGAAAATGAAAAAAAATTGGGGAGAACAGTAAAAGGTTTGTCACTGAAACTCAACACGTATTACTAAAACTCATCTCCATGACAGTCAGAAACATAGTCTCAGCTGTCTTGGCCGCAAGTACAATTCAATTTGCACGGTTAATTGTGCAAGTCATCCGAGTGAACACTACACATTTATCAATAATATGGAACTTACCAATGGAAAACTTGCAAGCATTTCTACTGATATAACCTTACACAGTAACGTTAGCGTAACATCTGTTTACAGTGTGTAACTTAATGCAGTGCGTTTTACTCGATTGTGATTAGACCGACTATTACATAACAGGGTTAAGCTAAACAAAAGTCAAAATGTTCGGGCTTAATTCAACTGGTTGAATATAACAAGTCCCCGAACCTATTTTGTTATACAGTCAAACGGTATGAATTGCTTTAAATTCGCTATACTATTACCCTTTGCTTGCTAACGATGCTTGTCATCATTACTAGCATTCCTACTGCCCTTCCTAGCTAAGCTAGCTGTTACTGTAACTAACGCTAGCTAGCCAACGCGATCACGACTCACCACATTTGTAAGGTCCTGCACCGACTTAGGATCACTCTCAGCCATGTTGTAGTTTAAATGAGTATCAGTGCCTAAACAGTACTGAAGTTCAAAAAGCTGCCCAATGATTGTTTCACTATCAGGTATATTGCTATATTTAGATGTAAGCAACTTCGCAACATCCACCACACAATCAGCTATTCCGCCAACAGAAAGAGTCTCGCGAGAGCTAAGTCACTGCTAAGAAATGTGGGAGATTGAGTTTTGAATGGTGATCATCGCCAATACCTGTCATGGTTTCAGGAAGATCATAATAAACCGTATCCATTCAAAGTATTTTGTTTATCAGTCCCAGTCTTAATTCAAGTTGAATGCTGGAATGTGGTGAGCCTGCAAATAGCGTCATAACAGTGTAGGCTCTGTGTCTGTGTGCACACGTTTGTATGCGTATTTACTGGCGCGTGCACATTTCTCTTCCTCTCATGTGAACGAATTAGGATTTAAAAGTTGGAGCTGCCAGGGAACCCGGTGTGTTTTGACACTGGAACAGCCGTGTGGCTATGTGTGTGTGTGTGTTGGGGTTTTTAGAAAGCAGAGGAGTGCATGAAGACGACTGGTAAGTGAAACTAGAAGTTGTCTACGGTTCACCTAGCCAGTGCTGAATCTTAAATTCTGTCTCTTGGGCGAGCATTTAATCCTCAAAGGGGGCGATGACAGTGGGCATTGTGCGTGTCCCTATACGTGTAATCACTGTTTCTTTGTGCCCTATTAGCTACTGTAGTTGCTGTATCCCCAAACTCTGCAGATTATATTATAGGCTATATCGCTGTAATAGTTAATCCCAGTAATCCAAAACTGGTTTCTGAATGTTCAGGCATGTTGGCCCAACCCCATGAAGTCATGCTTTGCTTAAAGAACGCAGCTTGGTCTTGTTCTGGCCCAATACAACTATGCTACTGTAGTGCGATAGGTTACTCACTGCACCAGCAAAAGGGAGACTTATTGGATTGTTACATTCCTGAATAATGTTCAACTGTATAGGGGACCTGTAAAAACAGTTGTTTTTTTCCCTATTTTATTTTTTGGGAGTCACTTCAAGGCTGATCTGCAGGTTTGTAGTCTTAACTTTCTAAAATGTTCTATCCTAATGAGTAATCAGACTCCGTTCATTTTCTGGATAACTCTACCATGTCAGGCTGCAGCTGCTGTGTTGAAATAGCCTCAGTCATACCAGGACTGAGATTAAAAGTTACTACCAGAGAACCTAATGGAGAGATTTTTGTTATTTTGTCATGTCTAAATACATCTTAACATGTTGACTGGCTGCCAAACATGTATGGGACCACTGGAGTTTGTGTTTGTCTGTTTAAAGGAGACTATGTAAATAACACTGTTAAGTTAGACTGATGATCATAAAGCCACAAGTCACATGAGAGGCACAGCAAACCAACTTCCTGTACTTCTCACTACTTGCCTGTTTATGTCCCAAGAGCTGTTTGTAATAGAAAACACACTGAGTGAGCTGTAATAAACTTTCTATTTGCTCTGTAGGTTGCTCTGGAGAATGAAGGAATCCCTAACCTTGTCCCTGAAGTAACTGGTGTTATAATCCCCTCATGAATGCATGCTAACACTTGGAATAACACTATTAATTTAGGGGTTATTGTACTCGAGTGTCTGAACTACTCTGCTGTAGTGCAGCTGTAGTCTACTAGAAGTCAGTTAGTCAGAGGAGACAGACTTGCATTTTGACTTCTTATCTCCACATTGTGGCATCTAACACTGACACCTCCTGCCCAGGTGACCTCAGCAGTGCCCCTAGTAACTGCCTGTCCTCTCTGTCTGCTGGCATTTTACTTTTCCTTGCACTAAACTCTCTATGGGACACTTCCAGATCTTTGCCTACATTCCTCCACCTGTTATCTCCATTCTGCAGCTGTTAATTCATACAAAACATCTGGATCTGACTTCAAGTGTACCAGCCAATAAGCTTGTGTGTACTTGATTGATTAATTTGCCTGCTGTTCAAAGTTTGTATTTAAAACAAGTTGTCACTTTTGTGTGTGCTGCACAACCAATATATTGATGCACCATATTCACTTTAAATTATAATATCAGTATTATATTAATTTTTAATTATATGATTATTCAGTCCATCTATAACTACTCTGGTCTTCAGAATATGACAAACCATGATAAGAAGTCAGAATCAGTTTTTCATCTGGTGTGTTCTTCCTGTGTGATCACTTGAGCTGTTTGCTGTGAGCTTTTAGAAATGGTGTACTCTACAGAATGTGTAGCTAGTAAGTCGGTGTGAGTGCAGTGCTTGAGAAACCTTAGTACATACACGTTTTGTTTTTTGTGTTTACTTTTTGCACCAGTAGCCTTTGCATATCTTTTATCTTTAGGTGTGACCACTTCTGCCTGTGTCCTGTACAACATACACACTGCGTTTGGGCTATAACTAGAAATTGTTTTTAATTTTGTGATCACTTATTTAATAGCTTAAAACATTGTTTAATAAATTCAAAAAGCAAAGATGGAAAACAAGGTAATTGTTGAGACTTTGAAGGATTAATTGGCAAATAAATAATAAAAGTGTTAATCAAAAATGTAACAAATTACCGTACATGTGTTTAAACAGACTAATCAGTCAAGTAAGAAAAGTTTAGCTTTCTTGCTGATTTGCAATAATCTGGTAACCTTAGCAAAAACCAGGAAATACAGACACCCGCTAACTAAAAACAGACAGATGCTGTCTTAGAGAAATATGTACAATAACAACAGAGAAGTGTCTGAACTCATGTACTTGAACAGTTTGAAAAAACACAGGGTCTAGGATGAAACTTGTATATGGTATTGCTGGTGCTGCCCTGCATATTTAAGTCTTAAAAATTTAAACATTCTCATGTGGAATTTATAACCTCAACAATGAACCCAGGAGAAAGAATTTTTTTTTTACGATCTAACCAAACCGGTATTTTTCATAGCAGACATTCTGACTTGCAGCAGGAAAAGCACAGGTGTTACTTAAAACATTAACAGTGTTTCCATTCTAGGCAAGTGTCCCAGTAAACCATCACAGTGTGATAGTGAGCAGCACACAGGGCCCCGAATCAGCTAAATGGAATTCAGCCATGACCTGCTTTGCTATTTACAGTATGTCTGTGCTTTTCCTACTATGACATGTCAAAATGCCTTTCATTGAAAAGTTATAGGGATAATGTTTGATATACTGTATATTTACTATCTCCTGAAAGTATAGCGAGGAGGACAAAACAAGTTTGCACAGAAGTGAGGCATGTCGATGTGTTCAGCCTAATGGATTTCACTCCTGTTTGGCACTTATGGAATGTTCATTTCAGGCCCAGTTGGTGACATCTGGCTGCATCATGAACATCTACATGTGATAACTGATAAATCGTGTTACCTTGCTGTTTCTAAGGTGCAACCTCGAGATCCGCTGGACTCCCCTGAGCTTCTCTCTTAGCAATGGATGCAGAGGTGATTCTGCAGGAGGAGAAGATGGAGGGCTTGTGGACACTGCTGCCCTGGCTGGCATCCTGCCTCATGGTGTTTGGAGGAGCCCTGCCCTATTTGCCACAATACCAGGAGATTCATAGGAGCAGCAATGCAGAAGGTTTCTCCACCAAAGTCTGCCTGGTGCTGCTCATAGCCAACATCCTGCGCATCTTCTTCTGGTGAGCATGAGAAAGAAAGTATTTTGTCTGTTTTGCTGATTTTATTTTTTAAGTCATCTTTATTGCTTTCATCATTTTGCCCTTTTGGAATTCAGGCCATTTACAAGGTCGTTCCTCAGATCAGTCTCTCAGAAATTGATGGAACAAGAATGAAATCACAGAATAAAATGAGATTGAAGGATAGGAAGCTTCTTCCCAAATTGTTTTGCACAGGCCACTGTTCCGGTTCAAATGAGGAGATAAGGAAATTAATGGATAGTTTGTGGTAGCTAGTTAGGACCTGGCATGTTTAAAAATGTGGAGTAAATCCAATAATGACAGAATAAAATAGAAGTTATGTGTCTTGATGGGGGATGATTACATGCTCTGTTTATTTTTGTTATATTGATTCTATAATGGTTTTTTAAAATTATTTATTTTAGTTCTGTATTTTTAATGGTATTTCACAAACTGGTTGCTATAATAAAAACTTTTGCATGTAAACTCTGGAATGAGATATGTGTGTCCTTTTAGGTTAGGGAAGCAGTTTGAGCTGACCCTGCTGCTCCAGAGCGTGGTGATGATCCTCACCATGTTTGCCATGCTCCACCTCTGCTGCACGGTCAAAAACACCAACCGAATGAGCACCAAGCAGCAGCGACTTTCAGGTAACCAGCTTTGTGCCAGAACCACCTTGACTGACAACAGTCTTCACTAACCACACGACAACATAATAAAAATGTGTATATAGTAAACAAACTACACCTCTGTGTGAGCAGCTTAGATGCCAAGTGCTTCAGCATCTGCTTCTTGCCAAAAGAGGGGGCCATTGGAAAGGCTTATATGGCAAGCCTGCTGTTTTCAAAGCGCTTTATCTCTGATGGCAATTTTTCCCTCATCTGATTTTTATTCCCCTTATTCTGTATTGTGTAGTTACTTTAGGGTTTTTGTGTCTAGATGTTAAAACACATGCTACTGTACCTGATTAATAGTAAATACTTGGAGGAAGTGAAAGTAATGGTATCACAGATATGAAGACATAAAAACATCAGAGGGAAAGCACACATGTCTGATGGATATACAGTGTTAGTCGATGAGATTAGTCTGTTCTGAGCCCGACTGTGTATGTGTAAGGACGAAGTGGATGAGGGAGATTTGGAAACGGGATGAAGAGAATTAACATTATGTAGACCAGTATCAGCATCCACTCTGTGTGTGTGTGTGTGTGTGTGTGTGTGTGTGTGTGTGTGTGTGTGCAAATGCAGAGGGCAAGAGACTATCCAAGAATATTTACAGGATGCTGTCTTTTATGGGTAATTGTGTTTGTTTTAAAGATGCACCAGTTGATTACTAGGTGAACAAATTCAACCTGGATACAGTTTTTTATTGGATAACGGTGTGTGGTGTAAATTGAATGTTGGATTCTTGTAATACTTTGAACATGCAGAGCGGAATGTGTTATTAAAGGGATCAGTTATGCTGGATGTTTGATTTATGTGAGTGAAGAGAATATATTTCTTTATAAAGGAAAACATTAAGCATTTGTTCGCCGTCAGTGACAAATCTTCTGAAGTGAGGTCTGACCGAGAAACTAAAGATTGCCTGTGTGTGCACATGGGAGAAATGATCTTCTTTGTCATGGGCATCTGTGCTTGCCTTGTCTCAGCAAAAAGCTGGTGTATTACTCATCATCAGCCCTTTTTTATTAAGGCCCACGCTTAAACTTTTTTATCGCAAATAAAATCTGATATGACGACTAATGGTGATATTTCTGTTTTCTCTGAGGGTGGATGATTTTCATAGGCTGCATACACCGTCTGTGCTCAGCATAGTGGACAATCAGTCTGCCTGTAAGACACTTGAGCATTTAACTCTTTATATTAAACAGAGTGATGCAGCTCTGGATCAAAACGTCATATGCAGGTTTGCCCATTATAACCCCCATTACTCAGTATGACCAGCCTCTTACATAAAGCCCCCCGCCCCCGTGAAGGGCGAGCCTCAGGTTTGGTTTCACAGAACACGGGTACGCTGGGGGATGGTGGGGTCAGGACAAAAATAGGTCAGAAGCTCCCTTCGTCCCAACTGTCCGCTCCTCCCCCCATCATGGAGTCTTTCCAACAGCTCAGCGTCATGCCTACGTAAAGTAGTTGTCCTCTTTCCAAGTTGCGTGTTGGCATGAGTCCCAAATATGTAACTATTTTTGAGGATCTTTAATGCTGAGCTCTCTGTTGTCCTTTCTCAGCATGTCTCTCTGCTCTTTAACTTCCTCTTCTTTCACCTCCCTTTTTTCCCACCTTCCTCCACTGTTCTTCTTTTGTCCGCTCTCTTCTTCCTGTCCTTCTGTTGTTGTTTTATATGCTCCCACTTCATCTCCTCCTCTTCCTTCCTCTAACTTGTCCTTTCAGAAGGGCGATCTGAGACTACCAGAGTCCATGTGTGCCATACCAGGGTCATTTGTGATCCTGCTGCTTGCCTGCCGACACCTGTCCCTTACGTACTGACCTGATTTTCCACTTCCTAAAGACACACAAACACAAACTGACAGAGGAGGTGAAACAGTGGATCACTTATCACTTGTATTGCTTATGCTGCTAATTCCTAGCTGTTATACCGCCGTTTCATTTCACTGTGCTTTGATTCATGTAGGATCCAACCTTGCACTCAAAGCTTTTTTAGCAACATGCATTTGGTTGTGCAGTGTTGCAGTGAGCCTAAATGCTTTGACAGAAGTTGTATGCTTAAAAAAAAAATCATATTCATATATTATTTAAAATAGGTTTGTTTGCTTGAGTCCAAAACTGGATTTAATTCATCCCCTCTCCCCGAAATCTACTGGCCTGCTTTCATACTTGTCTGCAGTTGTTTCCATCCATGGTATATTTGTCTAATGCTCTCCTCAGCAGTGTGTAGGCAGTTATACTGTTGTTGCCAATAAACAATACTGACTCCTTTTCTGATGTGTCCTGGGAAGAGGGAGAACAATGTAAAGGTGGAGCCTTGTTAGTATGACTGAGAGGAGTGTGGTCCACAAAGACAAGCACCCCTTTTCACAGTTCCTCTAGGAAACAAGTATTGTGATTTGCTTGAATGTTACTGTACACACATGTATTGTGTTATTTTGCCGCTGTGGTTTTAGGGAATTTACTGCAAGAATGCCATGATGGTATCTTGACATTTGACCAAGTACCTATTGTGCTCTGACTAAGGTGGCCACGATTAGTTGATGTAATCGATGATGTCGACACTAAAGATTAGTCGACATCAGCATTTTTAAACCGACATATCTGTTTTTATGAATTTTTTAAGACTTTGTTATGAAGTCAGTGTCCGGCCAATTTGTAAAAAAGGTTCATTCTGTCAGGGTTGAAATGGTCAGAGAATAAAGAGGTGGTTTTTACACTGTGCTAAGATGTATTGGCTTCCCACAGCAGCACTAGCACTATGCAAGAGCACCTGAAGAGAAAACTTACAGACAGTCTTCTAGATGATGACCTGCCAGAAAAGGCAAAACCATTGTAAAGGTTGTCTATGACATCCAGTTTGTTGTCAAAATAAAATGAAGCTAAATTATCACACTCTGTGTGATACCCTTAAGCACATATGGTAAGAATACATTTTTTTGCAGCTATTTCAGTTGCAGTGTTTAAGCAGTAAATGATGCTTTTACCATAACCATTTTGTCTATCTTAACAAACAGAAACCAACATGAACACACTCCAAATGAAGATTTGTTTTCTGTTCATGTTTTCATTTAAAGAGGAGGCTGAGTGAGAAACAAAATTATAAGATTAATGGGTTTGAACAGGTATGGACTGGGTAAATTATATGTGAAAGTCCAAGGATCAGCAAAAACATAATTAGTTTTTATCTGCATCACCACTGTTACCCACTACAGTGTTACTCTTTATTAATCACCAATAGATGTAAAACTTAAAATATTGATAATGTGTTTGTTTCTAAATATGTTGAAAATGAAATTGCTATTAAAGCACATTCAAAATTAATCGGCCAAATGTATATGGTTTAATTTCTATGGGATGACATTTTTGGATCATGAACTACATTAGAACAAAAGTTTGGGTATTTATAGACTGAAGTTGTGCTACAGCTGCACAGTCTTTGTAATGGTCTGTACACTGAGCTGACTCAGAGTTACGACTTTGCAGTGACTTCCAGTGGCTGCCCCAGGGTGCCACATTAACAGTCCTGGCCTTTATGATACAGGGATTCGGAAGCTATTGTGGGGCGAGTGCAGAGAATATGTTCAAAGGCAAATGTGACGTCAGGCTACAGTGTCAGGCTTGCTGCAGTGGAAGTGGGGAGATACTCTGAGCAGGTATATAAAATAGGGCCGGGGAAACAGTAAAATAAAATGAAAAAATTGTTGTTCCACTACATGAATGTAAATTATTTAACTTTCAAACATTAATAGAATTTAGGAGTTGAGTTGACTGGATCCAATAAAAAGTTGAACAATATCTTCCTCTACTGGTTGGTGTAGGTAAAGCACATCGTACATAATATCGCACATTGATCTTAGCTTTTAAAACTCCTTTGTGAGAATGTCATGAATATGTGCAGATCCAGATGTATTTTATGCTTATTTTAAACTGTTTATAATTCCAAAGCCCTTTGTTGCATTTTTATTTTTATTTTTCTCTCCTTAGTCCTTGTCACGTTGCGCTTAGATAGGCGGTGCTGCTGGATGCCCAAGAGGTTTTAAAGAATGTTTTTGTATTTGACACACACCACACAGACTGGATAGCTCGGTGATTAACACAAGCAGAATTCCAGAGTTGTGGCAAAATGGCTTAAGGACAACAAAGTCCAGGTACTGGAGTGGTCATCACAAAGCCCTGACCTCAATCCAATAGATCATTTGTGGGCAGAACTGAAAAAGTGTGTGTGAGCAAGGAGGCCTACAAACCTGTCTCGGTTCCACCAGTTCTGTCATGAGGAATGGTATAAACCTCCAGTAGCCTATTGTAAGAAGCTTGTGGAAGATGTCCCACAACATTTGGCCCAAGTTAAACAATTTAAAGGCAATGCTACCAAATACTAACCGAGTGTATGTAAACCTCTGACCCATGTGATGAATGTGATGAAAGTCATAAAAGCTGAAATAAATCTTTTTCTCTACTATTACTGACATTTCACATTCTTCAAATAAAGAAGTGACTCTAACTGACCTAAGATAGGGAATGTTTATAGGATTAAATGTCAGGAGCTGTGAAAAACTGAGTTTAAATGTATTTGGCTTTTTGTTTTTGTTTTTTTTACATTTTCAAATCACTCTCTCATCATTCTCACCTACGATCTTACTTTGTGAGTCACTTAACAAGGAGCTGCAATTGCTATTTAACACCGTGTTATGTTGGAGCCAGCAGGGGAGCTTACCAGACCATAAACAGAGGAAGAGGACTCTTGATAGCTGGTGTTGACTATTTAGTCATCCTTAAAACTGTTAGTACTCAAGGTGTCAAAGCAAATTTCATTTGTTCTAGATAACCTTTTCAGGATAGATTAAATAGAGCAGATGTTGGAAGTGTGATAGGAATTGTTAAAGAATGTGGACTCAGTCAGCGGCTAATTCAGTGTCTGTGCTTTTGCAACATGAACAATAAGAAGTGAGCACACATTATTTTTCAGCAGCTTTATTATTGCC